GACACGAACCATGGTGGACTACGTGGGAGTCCAGCGACATAGCCATTACGCTAACTGCTGGTTCCCATACACACACACACACACACACACACACACACACACACACACTCTTGAAGCCATCCCAGCACCACCAGGGGCTCCCAGGCAGAGGGCTGAGCATGCAGAGTGGTGCCCCCTGCAGGCCAGGCTCAGCGGCTGCAGGTCCTGGGCAATCACTTGATCTCCTGAGCCCTGACACCTTCTTCTGTCCAAGAGCATGATGCAGCCCCATGCCAGAGGGCTGCTGGAGACTGAGGGGCCTGCGCGCAGAGCAGAGAGGCACTGGGAGGGGCTCGGGGGTCCGTGCTGCTGCATGAGCAAATGGCAGAGCTCAAGTGGAAGCTTGGTATTTCCTAATCCCAGAACCCCTTTTTCTCCCTGCCTGTGAGCAGCTCCCAGGCAGGGGCTGGTCTGCTGCAGACGGGCACAAATATGCAGAGGGCAGGTCGTGCCTAAGGGCACACAGCTGAGGAGGGAGGGCATCAGTGGGGGGAAGGCCAGGGCTATGCATGCAGGCTCAGGTTTGGGTCTATGCAGGGTCTCGTGGAAAAGGGTGGGCCCTCAGGGCAGGGAGAGGACAGGAACTTCTACTGCAGCCCCAGCGTGGCACCACGCACCAGCAGGATGAATCCTCCGTGACCCATCAGCCGACGGCCCTGCGTTAGGTCCCACGACAGTCCCTGGCCCGGGAACTGGCCTAGTGACTGAAGAGCTCTGAGACAGAAACTAGGGACCTACAACTGCCCCAAACAGCTCCCCTTAATTAACAGGATTCAGAATAATCAATTGCAGGTGTAGACTGGAACAGAGACCCAGGAGGTGGAGGAAAACACTCGGAACCACTGGGCGCGGCATGCCAGGGGCTGTGGCTCTCTCCTGGAAGCTTCTCTCTCGCTTTCCAGGACCAGCCCGAGTCCTCCGTCATGCAGACCCAGCACCGCACTGCTGTGGTCTGGAGGAAGCGCAGCCGGAGCAACGCCTACCTGCACCAGGAGCAGTCCTTCACGTCGAAGCGCAGCAGGTCGTTGAGCATCGTCTTTCTGAAAGGCAGGACAGGGGGTGGTGGGCAGGTCTGCTCTGCACCGGGACCAGGAGGGGCACCGCTGCAGCCACAGCACAGGGGAGGGCTGTTTGGCCTGGAGTGCTGACCCCTAGAATCTGGCCGGGCAACCAGCTTATGCCCGAGGGACAAGAGAGTGACCATGAAGGTCATCCAGCTGCTGTGGGCATTGGCACTGCCACACCATCGGGCTGGCCTGCCCAGGGTGAGGACCAAAGCAGGATCTTAGCCAAGAACCCGCCTACAGCAGACGTGGGGCATGACGCGGCCCACAAGCCAGTCACCGGTCCCGACCCCCTAGCCTCCAAGACCCCCGCTTGTACGTCTCCGCCGCCTCCACAAATGCTCCGCCATTATGTGGACACTTGCCCACATCTCAGGGGGGCCCTTTGCTATCCACCGCATTACTGCAAAATGGACTGGAGGTTAGCTGAATTAGAGCTAGGAGAGGCCGACTCCATGGTCTGATGGTTAAGGAAGCTGGATCCCACGTGGCCAGCTCACTGGTTCTGTTCCAGGCCCTGGCAGTCTGAAAACCTGGGCATATGTGTGTACCCCAAACCCGGAAAGGGTAGAGAAAGGGAGAAGGAATTGTGGCGTGACCACACCCCATTGCCCCCCCAACCACAGCAAGCCCATTCACCCTCTGGCAAATTGGAAAAAAAAAAAAAAAAAGATACAATGAGGGGAAGGCTGGAAACAACACTGGAAGGCCTGGGTTCAATTCCTGGACCAACCTGCACACACCAGTTTCAGTTACGTGTACTATGATCCTAGCTAACTGGAAGGCTGGGTCAGGAGGATCTGCTGCAAGAGATCTGCTGCAAAAACATCTCACTCAGAGACCAGCAGTTGGCGTAATGGCTATGTCGCTGGACTCCCATGTAGTCAACCATGGTTCGAGTCCTGAGCCTGGTAGCTTAAACTCACGCCTGGTGTGTGTGTGTGCATGTCCAAGATCCCGAGAGAAGAATGGAGGAGAAGGGATTGTGGTGTGGCCATCCCCCCTGGGGGGTGATTTCTCGCTTTCTGTCTCTCTAAAATAAAGTTTTTTAAAAAAAATCTTGCTCCATCTCCATCTCTCTCTCTCTGATGGGGGGGTGGGGACAATAAAATGGAAAACAAGTCCCGCTGCCATTGCATGACTTCCATGACTTGCATACAACCTTCTATCACCCAGAACGGGTCCCTAACAGAGGACAAGGGCAGAGCCACAGGAGCACAGCAGCCCTCAAGCCATTTATCTTTGTACTGTCCCCTGCTGCCACCTCCCCATCTCCCTGCAGAAGAGGAACCGGCCTGGGAGGTGAAGGCAGCGCCTGAGCCAGGCGCCAGGCACCAGGCAGCCAGAGCAGGGGAGCTGGGAGGTGACTAAACCTCTCCTTCCTCGCTGGCCAGCCCCCAAGTCCCAGAAGGCCACCTTTCTTCTTACTCACGCTTTACAAAGTTACCCTAGAATGAGACACATTTGTATCCTGTTCCTTATAAAAAAATGTTTCTCCTGGTAGCTACACAGTTGTCACACAAACTCTCCCTGCTACGGAGCACTCCTAAGGATTGAGGTCCCTGTTTCCCACCCACTGCCCTGTGGGGGTGCTGGGACTTTCTGGACGGCTCGGGGGAGTCTGTGGATAGATGCCTCTTCCTTAGTTCATTCCTTCGTGACAAGCACGGGTCGAGGCACCGGGTGCTGGACACAGCAGTGACAGGAGCACAGGACTCGCCTTGGTGAAGACAGAGAGGAGCCAACATCTGTGTACCTCAGGGACATGTGGAGATGATGACGCCAGCCCTAAGTGGGTCACTCACAAGAGCACCAGGGGAGGGGCAGGAAGAGTGGGAGGAGGGAACAGGCTGTGTGAGTTCTGAGCAGGGCAGTGCATGGTACAACCGAAACGTAGCCAGGGAGCCAGTGTGGCCCCAGGCAGCAGGGGGTGAGGGCAGAGGGTCCGCAGGGGCATGGGCGTGTGCGCCTCACCAGGTGTCATGAGCCCTGGGTTTCTCCTCAGGAGGGTGGGCAGGCCTCACAGGACTAGCAGTGCGGAGGAGCCCGCTCCAACCGACACTTATCAATGGATCCCTCTCCTGGCTGCTCTTTTTTTGGAGAGGTTTTGCTATAGGGTGTGTGTGCTCATCAGAAAGACAGAGAGAAAGAAAGTGAGAAATCACCCCCCCATTCTTCTCCATTCTCCTCTCAGGATCTTGGGCACACACACACACACCCGGCGTGAGTTTAAGCCATCGGGTCCGGGACTTGAACTGTGATCAACTACATGGGAGTCCAGCGACATAGCCATTATGCCAACTGCTGGTCCCTCCTGGTTGCTCTTGAGAAAAGAGGCGCTGGGACAAGACAGGCTGGCAGCCAGGGGCCATGCCCAGGAGGCCCTTCTGCTCAGGACGCGGTGCTCTAAGACGCTCAGCTTCCTGAGTGTCAGGTCAGGGACGCATGTGCGAACACTGCACCCTCCCTCAGTACAGGGAGACCAGTCCCAGGGGAAGTAGGGACAGTTTGTAAGTGGCGATGTGCTCACCTCGAGAGTGTCAGTCCAGGTGACTGAAAACCAGAAAGGTTGTCTGCCAGTTTACGACAAAAGTGAGGAATACATTTTCTTTGTTTCTTTGTTTTGTTTGAGAGATTTTTGCCATAGGATGTGTGCGTTCACCAGAGAGACAGAGAGAGACAGGAAGCAAGAAATCACCCCCCCCCCCCAAGGGGGAGGCCCACACCATCCCTTCTCCATTCTCCTCTCAGGATTTTGGAGAGTTTTTGTTTGTTTGTTTTGTTTTTTTGCTATAGGGAGCGTGCGCTCACCAGACAGACAGAGAGAGACAGAGAGACAGAAAGCGAGAAATCACCCCTCAGCGGGGATGGCCACGCCGCAATCCCTTCTCCTCCATTCTCTTCTCAGGATCTTGGGCACGTATGCACACACACCCGGCGTGAGTTTAAGCCACCGGGTCCAGGACTCGAACCGCAGTCGGCTACGTGGGAGTCCAGCGACATAGCCATTATGCTAACTGCTGGTCCCTCCTCTCAGGATTTTGGACACATACATACACACACTGACATGAGTTTCAAACTGCCGGTTTCAGGACTTGAACCGTGACTAGCCACATGGGAGTCCAATGTCTTTACCACCATGCCACCTGCTGGCCCCACGAAGAACACATTTTGGCTGCAAAGCGAGCATCTGGATGAAGCCTAGAGGGAAGTGTGGGGAAAGAAAAGTGCCTGGGAAGGGTAGCAGGAAGGGTGGGTGGGTTTCTTTTAGGGCCATATCCACTCGCTCAGACCAAAAGGGACGTCGCCATGCACTGGGCATGTCCTATCTGCTAGCTGCTGTGCCAAGGGCCTGAGTGCAGGACCTCTGAATCCCCACCACCACCTGGGAGGTGAGTGCAGGGAACCTTGCAGATGGGGAAACTGAGGCCCAGGGTGATTAACATCCGGAATGACAACAGCAGCCCTGCACGGGTCTAGTACCTGACCACAGCGCTTCTCCCTTCCTGGTCCAAACGCCCCGATGCTCAAAGTCACTCACCCATTGTCTCCACCAAACACATATATGGCATCTTTATAGGCCACCACTGTGTGCTTGCTGCGCCTGGGGATAAAGAAGGAGTGAAGGGTGCTGAGGCCAGGATCCCCCTTGGGGGATAAGGAGGACACTGAAGGAATGGGACTAAGCACAGGGGCTGCAACAGAAGTTGGGTAGCATCTCTCAACTGCCATGCTCTACAGAGACGCCTCAATTCCAACCCTCCAGAGGACCTCACACTAGGGGACACATGACACCACCCGGGGACTCTCCTGACTTCCCACCTTACCACGCAGCACTTGACCCCATGCCCGAGACCCATAAGCCAAAGAATTCTAGCATCCTACCCAGGGGTCACCAGGCTCTGAGACTCCCTTGGGACTCTCCCAGCCCCCAACGTGCCCCCACCCCATCCCTTACCCGAAATCACCCCAGCACAGCACGCTCCTGCCTCACCATAATGAACCCCGCCCTGGGACCCCTTTCAGATTCCCCCCGCGCTCGGGACTCCCTGAACCCCGCCGTACCGAGCACCCACGAACTCGTCGCAGGGCGGGAGGCGCCGCCAACGATGCACTGTTTCGAAGGGCCCGAAGTTGAGAGTCAGATACTCGACACTGTCCGAGCAGCTGTGGTCAAAGTCCCCGCTCGGAGCTACTTTAGATCGCGCGCCACCTGCCAGGGCCCCGGCCCCTATCGGACCCCCGGAGCCGCCAGGGCCAGCCATCCCGGGTCCACGCCCGCTCGGCCGCTGGGTCCGCAGAACTTACGGCCACCGCCCCGGGCCGCACGGAGGGACCACATTCCCCGGCGAGCCCTGCGCCGAAAGCAAGGCACTTCCGCTAGCGCCACACTTTTACCGGCCCGCACTTCCCGACAAGCTTCGCGCTCCCTGGGCCACGGCGGGGGGGCGCGGGTCCGCGGTGCCTGCCTAGCGGCGAGTGTGTACGCATTTCCAGCGACATACGGGCGCCGAGTCCCCGCTCCCCCGAGTCCTGGCCCCAGCCCTGCCTGGAATGCACTCCCCCAGAGCCCGCCAGGCCCACGCCGCGCCAAGACTCGGCAGGAGCTCACAGTTCCCGGCATGCCCTGGGCCTGCGCGTGGGTCTGGCCTGATCGTCCGCCGCTCCCGGGATCCCAGCGGAAAAAGAGTTCCGGACTCACACCGGCCCTTATAAACCGCCTGGGCCAGTTCCCCGCGTCTCGCCTCTCCCCTACGTGTTCTTATTAACTAGGAGGCAGCGTGGCGGGCAGCCTCTGGATTCTCATTCCTACTTAATAGTGGAGCCTCGGCTTCTTCACCTGCGAAGTTGAGACTTAGAAAACTCCGGCGACTATGAGAAGCATGGGTTTGTCTCAGGACTCTGCTCCTGCACCCCCCAAAGCGGGCAAATGCCCCCAGTGTCAAGCACAAGCTGCCTCTGACCTCCGAAGAAGCATTTCTAGTCCCAAGACCTTTGCACGTACTGTCCCCCTCTTCCTGGAGTGTCCTTTCAAAGTATAGATCCAGAGGCACTGACCGGAAGGGCTTTCCCTGACAGCGCAGAGGTTACGGGGAGGAGGACTGGGTGGTGTGCGTGTGTGCACGTACGTGTGTGTGGTGACCTTTGGGTGATCGCAGGTAGAACTTCCCTTGTTGTGGCATTGAGCATTGTGTTGCAGTTGTGTCCCGGCTCCCGCCCCGCCGTGGTTTACTTTCTTCCTCAGGAGTGTTGGCCCAATTACACTGGGAATCACACAGATCTGCAAATGTGTGCGTTTTAATTTTAAGATGATGTCTAACATATTGCAGGGTCCCGCAGGGTACCAGTCCCTGTAGAGGGAGAAGAGGCAGGGCCTGTCTGGCCTCCAGTGCCAGCTGTCAGTGGCACCCAAGGCCTTGGGAGATGAGCATCTTCTGAAGGCAGCAGAGGCCTCCCTGGAGGCAAGCCAGGCAGCTGAAGGCAAGCACTGGGAAGGCTCAGGATTTTCCCTGGGGGGTCTTGGAAAATTGGAGGTTGGCACCTGCCCCCAAGACTTGGCCTCTGTCCCTGGTGCCCCAGCGTGCCTGCCCAAGTCCACTGCATGGGAACTCAGGATCCTTTGCCTGTGAGCCAAGACATGTCGCCAGTCCTGCAGGAGTGAGGGGAGGAGGGGTCAGGGCAGAAGACAGCATGCTCCCCTCCAGACACCAGAACAGCTGGCCCTTAAGGACAGCAGGGGGCCTGCTCTGTGCCAGGTCCTGGTGTCCAGCAGGGTCGTGTGCTCGGGGAGAGGGGTGTAGACTGTCGGGTGGAGGTGGGGAAGGGTCAGGACAGTGAACAGCGGGACAGAGGAGGACCACCTACTTGCTGTGCAGCACAAACAGCCTTTGCGAAGGCAAGAGGGAGAAACAGAGAGAGGCCGGGAGGCAGCGTGTCATCCATCGTGACCCCTCTTGCTCCATTGTTTCCAGCCCAAGGCTACTCCTGTTTCATGGCCTGCATCCCTCCCAGTGGCCCCCAGGCTCTTCTAACCCCTGGGAGCTCTGTAGGTGGGTTGGGCCCACAGAGTGGTTCTCATTGACATGATGCCCAGATGTGGAGGATGGCTCATGTCCAGTGCCTCCCATGCCCAGCTCTACATGCAGGCAGGGTGTTGCTACCTGTCCCCACCCAGCTCCCGTAAGGCTCAACGCGACCAAGTCCTGCCAGGTGTCCCAAGCCGTGAGCCTTGACCCCTCCCCATAGTACTAGTCTTGCTCTGGGGTGCTTCTGTCCCCTGTGAGCCCACATAACTGGCCCGTTTTTGCCCTATACCACCCTGTAGCCCTGGCAGCCTCAGACATGGGGACCAAGAGTGAAGAGAAGGGCCCCAGGTGAGTGCAGGGCAGTTCACTGCTCTGACAGCTTGAGCTAGTCCTTCAGGGTACTTCTCCCCGACCCCCAGGCCTCCCATGCCCACACTCACTCCACCTCCCGCTTCCGGATGGCACGGCCAGAGGCCAGCACCTCAGCCACCTTGGACACGATGGGGTCATAGTTCATACTGGCCACAGCGATCACCTCGTCGCCTCTGCAGGGAGAAGGTGGCCTGAGGAACCGCCTCGTGGCAGCCCCCTTCTTAGACTCTCATGTGCTCCTGTCCACCCGGGTCCAGGGAAGGAGCTTGCCCAGGGCAACGGCGTGGCCCAGCACAGGCTTCATTCAGGAGACCTCAGAAAAGCTCCAGCCTTCCCCGTCAGTGGGGCTCAGGGCTGGGCTCCCATCCTGGGACTTTAGCCTGGGATGATTTCTCCTTCCTGACCCAGCTTGCAGTCCTTTGCACCCTCGCTGCACCCCGTGGCTCTCACTTGGTATAAAAAGCCACGAACTTCAGCTCCTCCAGATCCCCCTGGATGATGACGTCATCGAAGCCTTCTCCATAGCCTGTGGGTGGGGCGGGTCGGTGACGGCCACGTGAGCAGGGGAGAGGAGATGGAGGTTTCACAGAATTGGCTCCCTGCCCTCCCAAACCTTTCTGGACACCCCCTTCCAATTCTTGCTTCCAAATCCTTCTAGGTGGCCCTTAGTTGCCCCACTAGGAAATTCATAGCTGCTTCTCCCGAGGGCTACAGCCCCGCCCCCAGGGTCCTCATAGCCCCGCCCTAATCCCAAGTCCCACCCTTCGCCCGAGGGCCCCGCCCCCTAACAGGCCCCGATCCTGACCAGGGCTCCTTCCCTACCAGGGT